TATGAGCATTTTATATAACATAATGATAAAAATCTATGAGTCTTTATACATGAGTTCATTCACTTTCTACAGGTATCCGAGTAGTAACATGTTTCAGTTAGATAGTTAGAACTAGCGTTATGGCTAAATGATACCCGTGTGTGTCTTCACTGCATTTCACTTCCTTATGTATTGTCTTAATGAATGTTTGATGTTATATCCATTCTGTGGCTGTCATGAAGAATTTTGCTTTGAACAATTGCATATATGTTCCATTTGTCCTTTGTAGTTCCAAGGAATAGAATTACTCTACTGTATGATGCATCTATATTTAATACTTTGAGAAAGTATTAAAACTGTATCCCAAAAGCTCTCAAACTATTTTGTATTGCCAACAGCAATGCTTAAGGAGACCCATTTGTCTGCATTCTTACCATCTCATGCTGCTCTCTTTTTTATATAGTCATCATAGGAAGAGGTATTAATTGTGGTTCTTAGTTTGTAAATCTTTAAGGACTAAGATGTTGAGCATCTTTTCAATTACATTGAAAGTTGTTTTACCATTTTACAGAAGTGCTTATTAAACTATTTTGATCATATTAGGGTGCTTATGTATTGTGTATACAAGATTCTTGTCAAATAAATGAGTGACATAGCATAATTTGATTCTTTGTTTCAATAATTTAGTTATTTGCATGACAGAAAAATGTAAACTTGGGTTTACCAGTTTTGTCTTTTGTTTTCACCATAGAACTGGGCTTTGGGCTTTTGATATTGCATCGTATGTGCTTCTATAACTAATTGTGATTCACTTGCACTTATCCCCACATTGAGAGTAAGTTTGTACATTTCTACAAGAAACTAGATAGAATTCTAACAGGCAGCATTTTCAGGAAGTATTGGAACTTGACATAGAGTAATTCCCAATTTCCTGAGGAACCACCACACTGATTTCCAAAGTGGCTGTACAAGTTTGCACTCCCTTCAACATTGGAGGAGTGTTCACCTTTCTCCACATCCTCTTCAACATATACTGTCTTTGTTGTTTATGATTTTAGCCATTCTGACAGGTGTTAGATAATATCTCAGAGTTGTTTTGATTTGCATTTCCCTGATGGCCAAGAATGTTGCACACTTTCTTAAAAGTCTTTCAGCCATTTTGGATTACTCTATTGAGAATTCTCTATTTAGTTCTGCACCCTACTTTTTTATAGTATTATTTGTTGTTTTGGTAACTAGCTTCTTGAGTTCTTTATATATTTTGGAAATCATCCCTCTGCCAGTTGTGGGGTTGGTAATATTTTTTCCCATTTTGTAGGCTGCCATTTTGTCTTGTTTACTGGGTCCTTTGCCTTACAGAAGCTTCTTAATTTCAGGAGATCCCCTTAATTGTCAATATCAGTGTCTGTGTCAAGAAGTGGTCCCCTGTATCAATTTGTTGAAGGATACCTCCCACTGTCTCTTCTAAGAAATTCAGTATGGTGGGATTTACGTTGAGGTCTTTGATCCATTTAGACTTAAGTTTGTGCATGGTGATACAAATGGATCTATCTGCAGAGGATAAACCAACAATTCAAGAAATGGAGAAAAAGACTAACTAAAATTGCAAGAAATAAACAAATCTCTTAAAGGAAAACCAAGAAAAAACAACCAAACAAGCGAAAGAAACAATTCAAACACTTCAAGTTTTGAAAGCTGAAATATAGACAATCAAAATAAAGTCTGAGGGAATTCTAGAAATAGAAAAGCTGGGTAAATGAACAGGAACTAAAGATGTAAGCATAACCAAGAGAATACATGATGTGGAAGAGAGAATCTCTGTCATTGAAGATACACTAGGAGAAATAGATTTATAAACCAAAGAAAATCTTAAGTCCAACCAATTCCTAACACAAAATATCCAGGAAATATGAGACATAGTGAAAAGACATAACATTTATCACGTTTAATTATGTGTTTGAAAATGTAGATCCCTTGGATTTTCTGTCTGCAAGTTTGTATCATAGAGAGATTTACTGCATAGAGAGATTTACTTCTTTTATTATAACATGATATTTTTTTGTTTTTCTTTGCTGTTACACTTGATTCTTCTCAAACACTGTATATTTTACTGTACTGATGAGGATTCCACCCTGAAAAGGCACAAAAAGTCAACTATCTGTAACCAATCAGCAGAAGTCCACTAAATTTAGAAAAAATTTTACTCATCTATATCAAAACAGATCACAATTAAAAAAAAAAGAAATATTTACAAAGCATTCTGACAAGAAATAACTATATACCTTAAATTTAGAAATTTCCAACTCCCAGTATGACCAAAAGGAGATCGAAATTTGAGTTAAGTATTGCATATAAAAAAAGAAATCAATGATAATTCTTTGCAAAAATTCAAATTCTTATAACTTCAGAAATGCAAGTGAAAAGCATAATAGGATATGTTTCTCAAACATTTGGCATTATTATTTTCATTTATGTGTAAGTGTGTTAATGAATGCCACACATGTTGGGGAACCAGGCAGCAGAAGTAGGCACTAGACCCCCTTGGAACTAGAATATAAGCGGTTTTTATCCAACATGTATATTATTGGGATATACGTCACGCTGTCCATGGTTCTGTTAACTAATAAACCATTTCTCCAGACATTGGAAAAAGATGAGATGTTTTAAAAGTCATATTATTGACAAAAATGTGATAAATATATAAATGTATTGATCAAATAGGTAGACAAGCATTAAGGAATGTACCTAGGATTGAGTTGTGCCCTTTCGCAAAAACTCTGGAAAATGATTTGTTATCAGCAGTTCAAGAACAGGTGTATCTTGATTATTACCTGTAAAGATTGAAATATCCTGAGAAATTGTTACCCTGAAATTCAAGGAAGAAAAATCAGGAGAATAACAAAAAGGAAAAAGAAGAAAAACAGTGCTAGTATGTTTGGAGATAGAATAGATAAATATATATTTTGCTACTTGAATAATAGTATACACATAATGATGAAAATAAAAGTAACTCTACGCTCATCTGTGGAGTGAATTTTAATTATTGTATTAAAGAAAATGTGTAAATCACAGAATAAGTAATTCTGCTTCAGAATATTTTCAGAAAAGTAAATGAAAAAAATATATTATTTAAAGATAAATACATATATTATAAAAATATAACATTAAAGCTAGGGAATGATAAACGCAAAGTTCAAGAAAATTGCTAGAAACATCAGTAATGTTCCATTTTTAAGCTACTTGGTGATTTTTCTCGTGTAAATAATTAAAGAATTTATTTTAATAACATATAGCTGTGTGACTCCTGGTATAAATTGATTACATGAAGAATTTTATCATTTATAAAGAGAAATTAATAAAATATATCTCAATTTTAATACTCAAATTTTATTCACCATGTAGAAAATTCGCATAGAGGGTACCATGTGGGGACTATCAGTTTCCTCAGCCCACACTGGGGAGGGATTGGAGTGGTACCTTGCCTGACATAATCAAGGTTTAAAGTCTAACACAGAAAAAATCCATAGAAAATATCTCTGAAAGTGCCTTGGCCTTTCCTGTCTCTAACCAACTGATAGGCCCTGATAGGGAAAAGTTACAGTGTAAGAGTAATTGAACAAAGGAAAAGAAATGTTGCCATTTAAGGCATTCGTGGTTTGGGAAATCTGAGAAAACCCTTCATTAATTTCTTTTTCATTTGGGGTGATTAAGACAGGATTTCTCTGTGTAGCCCTTGTTGTTCTGGAACTCCCTCTGTAGATCAAGCTGTCGTCAAACTCAAAAAGATTTATCTTCCTCTGCTTCCAGAGTACTGGGATTAAAATCATGTGCCACCACCACCCATCATGGAGATATAGATAAGCCATTAGAGGCTAAGCTCACAGCCCAAAATTAGTTTTCTAACTATAAGTCTATCCTAGGTCCTTTTCTGTTGCTGTGATAAAACACGCAAGCCCATGAAAGATAGAGGAGGGAAGGCTTTATTTCAGCTTACAGGTATAGTCCATTATCTAAAAGGATGTCAGAAACCATGGAAGAACAATTGCTTTCTCATTTGAAAGCTTGTGCTTACCTTACTTTCTGATACAACCCAGGGCCACTAAAACAAGGATAATGATACTTAGAGTATACCTAGCCATCCTACATCAATTAACAAGCCATGCACACAAGGCATTCTTTTCTTGGCAATTACTTGATCAGGGTTTTTCTCTCAGATAATGATAGGTTATGTCAAGTTGATAATTAAAGGTAAGTGATGGAAACAGAAGCAAAGACCCATAATCAAACATTAGGCCAAGCTCAGGGAATCCTGATGAAGAGAGGGAGGAAGGATTTTAGGAGCCAGAGGGATCAATAGCATCATAAGAAAACCCACAGAAACTAGGACTCATAGAAACTCACAGAGTCTGAATCAAGAGGCAGTGAGGCTGCATGGACTGACTAAGACCCTTTACAAATATGTGACACTTGTGTAGATTGGTCTTCTTGTGGGACTCCTAACAGTGGGAACATGGGCTGTTCCTAATGCATTTGTTGGTTCTTTTGAACCTATTCCTCATACTTGCCCAGCCTTAAAAGAAGGGGAGGTGCTTAGTCTTACTGCAACTTGTTATGCCATGCTTGTTGATACCCATGAGAAGCCTGACCCTTTCTGAACAGAAACAGAGGAGTGGATATTGGGAATAAGGGGATGTGGGGGAAAGGAATAAGGGAGAGGAGAGAGAGAAAACTGTGGTTCTGATGTACAACAATTAAATAAATGTAACACATAAAACAGCTATCTTTCATCCATGCTCTCTCTCTCCCTTCCTCCCTCTCCCTCTTCTCTCTTCCTACCACATATGAATGAGTCTCTTCCTATCTATTTCCCAATTAATTCATGAAAAGAATCTTAGAATATTTAACATTGCAGATATGTTATATCCAATGCTATATGTTATGTCTAAATTGTGGAAAATATTGTCCAATAATAAAATCAATATGATAAAGCTTAAAATAAAATACCTTTTTCTCTTCTTTTCAGGGGAGAGAGAAAATGCAGTCCCCACTACCACAAATTATGCAGTTGAATTTTCTGCAGTTGAGGAAATCACAGGGCTCAGCACATCCAGAGTGCAATGGATATGCCTCACCCTGGGAAAACTACCTTTCTGATCATGGCATCTCCCATGCCAAGTAAGTATATAAAATACCTTCTTAGGGTGGGAGTTTTTACATGAAATTTCCACTAAAGTAATACATAGATGAAATATTTCTCAGGTATATCAGCCATTCATTACACAGGAAGAACATAACTTTAAAACTCCTGTTGTAAAAGTTCTATCACACAAATGCAAACAAATAAATTCATTCACCTTCTCTCTTTGCCCCTCTTCACTAAAGAAATTCATTCTTTCAATATGTTGTGCTTGGAGGCATTGCACGTATATTCCAGGAAGTACATTAAACTAGTATAAAATGTGACTATCATAAAATTTAACTAAGTCAATTTTTGTTGAATATGATGTTCTTTATTTCCATTTCCTTCTCCTTTATGATATGTCACTGCTATCCTTCTGCCTTCCAGAGTCCATTAAATAATCACCCAGCTGATGTCTGAAAAGAATTCTTTCTAGAGCTTTGAATAATCTTCTTTGTTGTTTGACTTTGGCCAGAAGAGGCTCACCAAGCATACACACTTTTGATATGTGGGTAGTGTCTCTTTAAGAAAACAAAAACAAAAAACAATTATTTGCAGATCAGTTTTACAAGAAGCAGAGTGGGGATTTGTATCACCTTATAAAGAATATGCTTAAACATGAAGATTCACTTACAGTATTTAAAAATATTATTTAATTCCCAGGTAATCTGTCTGTCAGTTTGGAAATCCATCACCACCTGTACATTTGTGGGAATTCTACCCATCAAGACTTCATTTGATCTTTTTGAAATGGTGACTGTTTACAATCTAGAAGAGACAGCTTTTTAAAACACACCTGTTTACCATCCCAAGTGCAAAACAGTACATTGTCACTTGAACTTATCCCCTTTATGTAATTTGGACAACTTCAGTAATTATAACTACATACAATTCTATTTTTAACATTTTCCCCAAAGCCAAGTATTTTTGCTATTGCTCTGATTAATGGTGTTTCTTTTGATATTTTCCCCCAAACTCTGACATATGTATGTATTCCTGTTGTTTAGTGTAGATCGGCATTCATTGGATTCTGCTATCTACTTTATGCTTATGTTGCCTCTTTTTTTAGCTTCTCCATTACAGAGCATTCCAGCGTTAGTGCCATGTTCAGTGTTTGTTAGCAGAGGCTTCCAGTTTCTACAGTGAGGAACTTACTGTCTTGTTACCATATGTATTTACTTCTACCTCCTACAAAAGGCTTGATAAAAGTGTCATTTAGAAGTCCACTCAGGCAAACAGAGTTCCCACTAGATAATACGCAATAGAATTATATATAGCACTCTGCACTTTTCACAGATTACTGGCCATCACCCCAGCAGTGTTCGGGATAACCGCGGGGGCTAGAAAATGTAAAACAACAAATGAAGCAATTGATAAGCACTCTGCCTCAGACAGCAAGATAGCCTCAACTTCTCAATAAATTTAATATGTTATATAATGCCCTCTTTCTCCTCTCAGCAATACGCCTTATAATCCGTAATGGGTTTTACACCTGAGGAGCTGATGTTACGGTTGGTGGTTGCCAGTTGGAGCTTGTTGGTATATAAAGTCAAGAGGCCTCTCTGGAATTGAACATGTGACTTTTGTTTCATAAGTGCTCTACTTTACTGCCATTGAAATTACATTAGGGAAATCAGTGTGGAATCTGGGGCTAGTGGTGTTGTGTTCATTACAACTGAGAGAGAGAATCTGAAAGGAATTTCCATATGAATTTAAATATTGTATAGTTTAATATTATGCAGCCCTAAAGCTTAAAATATATTTTATGTGTATGAATCTTAAGAGAAAATGATCAAAGGACAGCCTCCATGCACAAAGAGAAGCAACATAATAAAACCCATGAATAATATTCAAAGACAATCTCTGTTTAGAAAGTCAAAAGCTCTTAGGTTTTGAAACATTCTATGAATCAGTAAGTGATAGAATAATAAGATGTTGACTTAGCCTAAGGACGTACTACAAAATTGCAGTATAAAAATGAAAACATAATTTTAGATACTAATAAATTTCAATTTACTGTTTTGTTTTGGCAATCAAAAAATCCATGTGCAATTAAAATATGTGTATATTTTTAAGAAATATTTAAATTATAAGGGCTCTGATATTGAAAATTCAATTAAGCTATCAACAAATTAATTAGCAAATGGCTCATGCCTGTTGTTCAGGCTAGCTTCTTAAATACAGTCTTTAAGTAGCTATGGTATGTACATGAAAGAGACTACCTTCAAAGTATTTTAGTGTTTAACAAGAGAAAATCGTTTTATCCCCAATTTTACTCTGATATATACATTAACAAAGCTATACAGGTCTGCATGAAGTTAAAGACCAAATGCTTTTTAAAAGCAAAGGGGATTGTTTTCTGATTTATTAAACTGACACTAAATTTTTAATGCACCTCTTTATTTTGTATATTAATGCATTTAAAAAACATTTTTACTTTTAGGTCTAGGATCCACATTGTTTTTCCCATTTGAAACTGCAAAGATTAAAAGGACACTAAAAAGTATATATTTCAATTATTTGCTACTTAATATTATACCAGCAGTCTGTGAACCATGAAGGAGTCATTATGCCTAAAAATAAAATGATACTGTTTGAGATGAAAATTTTAAGTGAGACTGAAAAATATCAAAATAAAGTCCCCAACTATGCTTTTTATAAAAGTGCTTATAATGAAGTAGGACATTATTTTGATAATTAGAGTGGACATTCGAAAGTACTTGGAGATTCCTCATGGGGAAAGCAATTGTATATATAAGCTCACAATAGCAAAGCATACTTAGAAGAAAAATATGTCTAGAACTTAGTTGTAAATTCCTGTTCAAAAATTACACAATGATAGCACAAGGTAAAAATTTAGCCACAGTTAAGCAAAGAAGCAAGCAGGAGGCCCTTCTGAGGCTCATTGCTGGTTTTGCTTTTGGCAGTGAGAAGGAGATACACGAGCAGAGCTTTCCCTTAAACTCATAGTCAGACCACTCAGCTTAGAAAATGCTTGGGACATGAAAGGAAGCAGGTATGTGGACATGAGGGAGAAGAGGGGTTGTAGTCACCTTCTTCTCCCTTCTAGATGCTAAGTGCTAGGCCAGGAATCCTGACAATTTGTGGTTCTGACAGGCAGAACTTTAAGCCATGTCTCCTTATGGTTTTATATTTAGTGACTATTTGTCCTCAATAAAGGTCCCTTACTAGCCCACATCTTCTGGCGTTTTGGATGTCTATGAATGACAATGGCAAAATTACAGTAGATTTGACAAAACTGTACTTTGTCTGTCTAAGTTTTATTCCATAGTCAATTTTCTTGAGGACAGAGACACAGGAGAGGATTTAGGAAGCAAATAAATGTTAGCCTAGCAAGTTGGAGGTGAGGAGAGTCTAACCACAGGAGGACGCCCCAAAAACAAAGTAAAGGGTGTGTTCCTCTTCAGGCTTCAACATTGATCTCATAGAATGAACACTGTGAAGTTTGTGAAATGTTTGTCAGAAGTGGCAGCCAAGGGGACCACAGGGAAGAATAGCTTGTGGCACCTGCTTGCCAAAAATAACACCACTCTGTTTTATCTGTTTGGGAATGTCCACAGCGCTCCTTTAAAACTTCCAAGTTGGTGAAAAACTTCCATGATCTATCTTGGAAGACCTCACCCTCCCTGGGTAGTGAATGGGGGGATGGGATGGGGAATTGGTGGGATCATTGGGAGGATGGGAGGGAGAGAAAACTGGGATTGATATATAAAATAAGATTGTTTCTAATTTAAATAAAATTTATTTAAAAAAAAAGATCATCAAGTGTTTCAGGAGAGCTAGACAAAGTCTGTTCCTGACAAGAACTGTCATGAGTGTCATGAGTTTGCTTTCCCAGAAACATAGACGAACACACTTGACTCTTTCAGAGTCAGAATTTAGGGAATAGCAAGGAACTCACAGGTTGTGTTGTATTGTTACTTGTAATTTGACTAGTAGTCAAAATTTTTCTTGATAGTTACTATTGACAACCACTCCATTAGAATCTGACTACAAATATTCATCCTTAAATCACATTACATCTCACATAGTAAATATACCTGTGTATATATGTATCTATACACTCATTACATGTATTGTATTATAGATATAATAAAGCATATGTACGTTACAGAATGACCACAAAAGAGTTGAAGATGCTATAGCGAGTCCAAGGAGCTAAAAGGGGGTCTTGCTGGAGGCAGAAACCAATGAAAGAGTTGTAGAATCTATGGAGGGAGAGGTGAGAACAATAACCCTTAGTAGAGAGCTATCGCTTAGAGGTACAGCCATAGAACCGAACCACAGTGTCAGGGGTTTAAACCATGTCATTGGCTTGAGTCTAACTGCAAAAATAAAGTTTGAAGCCATGGAAGGTGTCTGGATCTAGAGGATAAACATGTTATCTGCGTAGCCTAAGGAGAAACTCTTGGGGATGATGGAATCTACCTATCCATTACTTCATGCATATAGGAAGTCTGGTAATAGCTTAGTGAGGACCAGACAATCACAGTGTTAAGTGTCCAGGTGAGCATAACACACCCTCCTCAGTAAGATCTTGAACAGATTTTTTTTCTGGTATGGCTTTAATATACCCATGAATTCATTTGATTACAGTTTTCTTTAATAAATTGGTAATGCAGTACCATTCATACTTGGGGGAGTGTTTTATCAGGCTGTGCCTTGTAGGTGGACCTGGACAGACATTATTATTTATGTATACAAGGAACAGTGTTATACAGCCTCTGCAATTGTATTTAAAGTGGGGTCAAAATCTGCTTGGAAAATAGGTTTCTGAACAAAGCAGAGCAGGAAGAGCATTGTGTTCACATTACTAAATAACTTAGAATAGGGAAAATTTTGATTTGGTCAGATTCAGTCAAATTATATCTATATTAGAATGAATATATCTTTAAGAGATGGGTCAACTCAACAAAACAAGAATTGTAGAAAGGCATGTAGCCAGGGAATTTGAAGTGATATCTAGAGAGGCCCCATTAAATG